TTGGGATGTAACTGTTGATGTAACATGCTTCATGTTTGATGGAGAAGAAGACTTATTTGAATCCCTTGAGTGCAGTTTATTTGCAGATTATGATGCACGAGGGGTTTGTGAGCCTAATATTGACATAATCTTTACTAAATATTATTTATGTGGTGCTATAATTAAATGTGATTTTATGGTATATTTAAAAAAATGTTATAATATTATATTTGTAGGCACCTTATATAATATTACGATGAATTATTTACAATTGCTTCCTTTTAATTATTATGGTTCATTTTATTTTCAATTCGTGTGTAAAAATTAAAATTGAATGAGAAAGTATTTATCAGATACCCTTTTATTTGTATTGGGAGCCTTATTAGATAAGTAGATGTTTATATCAAAGGTCATTCGTTAACAGTTAGTTACAAATTTGATGAATAATGCGTATGTTATTTGTTTGTTTATATTTAGACAGTTTTTTTTTTATCAATATTTGATTTGAGATTTGGATGGATAGATGCATGTTGAATATTACATTATATTTCATTATTTTTTCTGAATATATATTTTGAAGAAAAATATGATGAACAAAATTAATTTGTTATATTTTGCATCAAATATTGATGTGAGTTGAAAGTTATTATGATATAATGTTGATTGCTCTCAGCTTAGCTTCTATTGCTCGTTCTAATATTTTTGTTTATTGAGGTGTATGCTTCCGCTTGAAATGTTAAAGTGCAAATTTTGTTTGGGAATGCTATTATTTTAATTCATGATCAGTAAATATGTTGCACCTTTTGGATTGGATCATGGTTTTGGGAAAGAGAATGTTATTATATTTAAACATATTTTTGTGTAAGAATTTTATGAATTACTATAGGTAATTACCACCAAAGTGGGATTGCTTATATTGGTTTGAGAAAATTTCCTTGTAAAATTTAAGAAATGATTTTGGTTATTTCATGCAATTACCTGCCCAAAGGGGGTAATTGTGTGTTATAACTGTGAACTTGTTTGGGATGAAGTTAATGGAGGTGCATTGATCTAGGAGATTTGTCTGCCCAAAGGGGATGGATTTTCGAACCCAATGTTGTGCTCATTGATTAACTCATCTGTGGTTCTGACCATGGTTTAGACCTTGGTTTGTGCATTCTGCCCAAAGGAGAATGTATTATTATGTTGGCCTTGTTATGACAACCTGTTGTGCTAAATGATTAACTCATCCTAAGCGACTTCTTCTTGAGATTGTTGTAGATGAAGTTATTGGAGGCTCATTGGTCTAGGGATCTGTCTGCCCAGAGGAGATGGATTTTTGAACCCAATGTTGTGCTCATTGATTAACTCATCTGAGGTTCTGACCATGGTTTAGACCTTTGTTTGTGCATTCTGCCCCAAGGAGAATGTACTATTATGTTGGCCTTGTTATGACAACCTACTGTGCTAAATGATTAACTCATCCTAAGCAACATCTTCTTGAGATTGTAGATGAAGTTATTGGAGGCTCATTGGTCTAGGAATCTATCTGCCCAAAGGGGATATATTTTCAAACCCAGGGTTGTGCTCATTGATTAACTCATCTGAGGTTCTGGCCTTGGTTTAACCTTGGTTAGTGCATTCTGCCCAAAGGAGAATGTACTATTATGTTGGCCTCATTATAATATCTGGACTAAATTGAATATGTTTGATTTATTTTGAAATTAATATTTTGAAATATTTATTTTAGTTTTTATATACATAAATATTTATTTGGAAGTATTCGCTCTCATTCATATTTAATTTTGTGATCTCTTATTCATGTTTAATTTTGTAATAAATATTTATGTTTCCCTTTTCAAAATTTTAATTAATGAAAATTGTTACATAATATCATGATTATAATGTTAGTATTTACTCTCCCAATTTTAGTGTAGATTTTATGTGCTTTGTCAATTAAGTTGGATTAGTGAGCTAAGATATATAATTGTTGATATTGGAGATTGAAATTTGTAACACAAATTGCAGTTTAGTAAATGCAATATGAATTTGGGAAACATATGCTATAAGATTTTTCATATTATTTAGGTATGATTGTTGAGAAAGTTATTTGTGAATCGTCAGGATTCTTTGTTAATAAAAATTATTGTTTGTAATTATCTGCCCAAAGGAGTGTTTATAATATGCTAATTATTTGGTTAAAGTTATTTCATTGTTCATAATCAATATAATTGCATTTATGTAATAAATATACTTTTGATATGAACGATAACAATGCCATAATAGAATTGTTGATTGCATTGAATTGTGATTGATGGAGATGAGATCTAGATTTTTATTTTATGAATTCTGATCTTGATAGGGCATTGTGTGTTAGCCCATAATTAATGTAGAGAACATACTTAACGTGTTTTTTAGTGGGAGAGATATGATTAATTTTGTGTGATCTTGAAGTTATTGTCGATTTAGTGGGAGATAATTGCTTAGTTTTTAATGTCAAGATATGAGTTTATTTTGAAATGAATTTTCTATAAGGCCTCTTTGAGAAGGATTTTGAATTCTATATCCTTTTTTAAATCAACATGGATTTTATTTTACATTAATGGTGATCTGATGAGATAGTGAATTTCTTGAGCTATGAAGAAAATAATTTCTGTTAGTTTATTTACCATAAGGTTAGTGAGAGAAAATTTCATTTTCTTGTATTGTATATTGTTGAGAATATTGACCGACTCTCTAACCAAAGAATTTAGGCCCATGATAAATACATGTGAAGAATATGGGCATTGTGAATTCCTTTGATTTAGTTGATTAGTGGGAGTTTGAATCATTTATTATTTTACGATGTTGAGCCATTCATTTTGGATTTAATTGATGTTTGGTTGACAGATAAATTATTTTGGAGCAATTGATAATGCTTTGAGTTTTATTATTGTATATATTGAGTACATGTATTTATGTTTATCAATTGTGAGATGATTTTGGAACTCAGTGTCGTTGGGACCACCATGCCTGTGGTTGACACTATATTGGAGTTTGAGGCATAATTTTGGAACTCAATGTCGTTGGAACCATCATATATGTGGTTGACACTATATGAGAGTTTGAGACATAATGGTGTTGTTAAGACTACAGAGCCCGTAATCGACATCATATTTGATTATATTATGGTTTTTGATAAAGCATGAAATTTCTCTGGCTTTAAGGCATTTGAGAGAAATTTGAGGACTGGCAGAGAAAATAGCAGTTTGGCTGTTATTGGATCATATTGGCATGCTATTTTCTTGCTACACTCCACACTAATGACTAGTCGACGGAGTCAAGTAACATTTGTGATCATGGAAGGTCTTATATCGGTAAGGGTGTAATCACCGCTTGATTCAATGTTATTTGATTTTAGTTGGATGGAGTCATATTCAGATATCTCACCTTGGATCATGTGTTTTCTTAAAATGTGGCCACATTATAAGAATTAGTCCTTAGCCCGAGAGTCGTTTTTAAATAACTTATTTTTCTTTTCTCTTTTAAATTAAAATTTTACAATTGATTTTGCTCAAGTGGGAGAATGTAAGAAATTTTTATAATAATTGTGGGCTTCAATCAATTGTAGTTTTTTTCTTGTTTTAATAAAAACGGGCTAAGTCATGATCCATAAAGGGGTGCAATATAATGCCCATTTAATTAGTGATCCTTTTGTTTGAGCTTGGATATCTGTAAATTGATTAGTGTGGGTAACAGTGTAGGCCTAACCCATAGGCCCATGATGGGAAGGGGACTAGGGTTAATAAGTTTGGCTAGGTTCCCTCTGCATTCACAACGTGTTAGAAAACCGTTACTCCACAACTCGCCCCATCGACGGTTGTGATCAGAGAGTGGTGTGAAATGCAGAGGAAGATACTAGTCTTTCCATTGCAGGAGCGTTAGAGGAAACAAGAAACTTCAAGAAATCAAGAATCAAGTAAGCCTGAATCTTTTGGTGTTCTAATATCATATAATCCTATTTTGAAATTTTCTTTCATATTCGTGTCAAAACTTCAACACTAATACGACACGAATTTTTTGCGGGTTGACACGACACGACACGAATAACACGCAAAATAGGGATCAAAAGGTAATTGACAAAAAAATTTTAAAAAAAATTGGTCGAAATTAAAAAAATTTAAAAAATAATAATTAAAAAATTAAAATTAAAATTAAAAAATATGGGTCAACGCGAACACGAATACATAAACACAACACGACACGAATTTTTTACATGTCATTTTTTCTCAATACGAACAAGACACGATTATTTTTGCGACAACCCGAACACGAATTTTCATGTCGTGTCACGAGTCGATCCGCGTGTCATAACCTATATTGACACCTCTATGTGCAATCATGTCAAAATATATTAATATGAAAACACCTTCGTACTAATAATAAATACCAATTAAATTCAAAACTTATCACAATGTCATAATAAACTAAGACAGCAAAAGAGAATATTAATAAGACAACCAATTACCAAAGAGAATAAAAAAAACACCGGCTAGTGCCTGCTGCCGGCGGCGGCCGGCGGTTTAGCACCTTCCAGTGAATATCGCACATAGCAACCGACAACCTTATTATGAAAACTATGAAATCTGGACCGTCCAATCCTATTGTCCCATGCTTCGTAGCCGTTCGATTATCCAAATGTCTTGGTACGCGTTTTCTCAGTATTTTGAAACATCCTAACAGAAAAACCGGTATAACACCCTCTCTCCTCTTTCCTTGTTCATTTTCTATGTTAACAATCGATGTTCTAACTCTGACACATTAAGGATCATTTTCCCCTTCCAATTCCCACCTTCAAGCATCTCAAAAGTTTCAACCTTTACGCTTTCAGAATCAAAACCCTCCTCCATTTACGCACATTTTCCTTGTTTTCATTGTTTTACTTTATTTCCATAATGGGGTTCGTTGTAGTTGATACCATAATGGTTTCCAGCCATTAATGCGAGTTATTTTCGTGTTCCCCCAAATTCTTGGAAAGGGTTTTTCTTCCCATGTTTGATGTTCTTCTTTCAGCACACTTGCATGCTCATGCTTCACCCCATGTGGGAAAATCTTCGTTATTCAACACGCATTCTGGTATCAATTTCATTGCAACATCGAGCTGAAAAGGTAAAAATGTATTTTGTTTTATGTTTTTTTTTCTTTTTTTTTACTTTTTTTTTATTTCTTCTCTCTCTATATTTACCCTTTTCAATTTGAATATAGCACACACTCCTTTGGGGGGTAACAAATTAATTGGGTTTTGGGGTTTCTATTTTTCATTTGGTTCTTGTTTGTTATATAGATGCTTGGGAATGGTAGTGACTAGTATCAGATGGGAAACAACTGTGTTGGATCGAGAACAACCTCTTCAAAGGATGGAGCTACTTTTCAAAGTTCATTCTGGTGGTCAAGGAAAACGAAGAAAGAGGTTTCTCATGCACATAGAGGTGTAACTGTGAGCAAAAGTTCAAATGCTATAGATTCTGTTCAACACAAGCCTCCGCAGGTAGTGAGAATTGACAAGGAGGATGTGAAGTCACCTCAACCCATGGAGACAAAATCATCTTCAGAACCAACAACTACACGAAAGGAAGAAGAGGTTAGGGCAAAGAGGCCCCACAATGTGAAGAGGCTAACAAGTGCAGGGCTTAAAGCAGATTCTGTTCTGCAGAGAAAAACTGGTAATCTTAAGGAGTTTTATAGTTTGGGGAAGAAGCTTGGACAAGGGCAATTTGGAATTACGTTCCTTTGTGTGGAGAAAGCCACTGGGAAAGAGTATGCTTGCAAGTCCATCTTGAAGAGAAAACTGCTGACAGATGAAGATGTGGAGGATGTGAGGAGGGAGATTCAGATAATGCATCACTTGGTAGGGAGTCCCAATGTGATATCGATTAAAGAGGCTTATGAGGATGCTGTTTCTGTTCATGTTGTTATGGAATTGTGTGCAGGGGGTGAACTATTTGATAGGATTGTGGAAAGAGGGCATTACACAGAAAGAAAAGCAGCTAAACTTTCAAGGACTATAGTTGGTGTTATTGAGTCTTGCCACTCCCTTGGAGTAATGCATCGTGATCTTAAGCCTGAGAATTTTCTATTTGTCAATGAGCAGGAAGATTCCCCCCTTAAGGCAATAGATTTTGGACTCTCTGCTTTTTTCAAACCAGGTTTGTCAAAAAATTAATTTTTTTCCCCTCCCCTTGTCCAATTAATTAACATCTATCTTCAATTGTTTGCTTTCCACACTTTGTCGTATTTTGGGTTTCATCAATTCGTTTTGTGGCCATTCCTTCTAATATCCAGTAGGTGTACAGTGTACCTTATTTTGTGGAACTTGTGTAAAAAATCATGTGTGTAAATACATGGTAAATGTTATAAATAAGAAGTGGAGAGAAGAAAAGGAAAAGGGAAGTTGATAGGGCTATGGGTAAGTATAGGAAGAGAAGGGAGGAGAAAGAGAGCTTATAAGACTCATCCTTTTTAGTTTGCCCCTTTCCTTTAGTAATTCAGTTTGCATTGATGCTTTCATTGATGATCGTTGTTGTCCATCTTTGTTTTGTGCTCTTAATTTAATTTCAAGATTACAATATTTCTGTTTATGCCGTTAGTGTAAGGGTTTAATTGCAAACCTTTCCACTACACTTTCTATAACAACTTGTTCCTCTTTGGCAAAGTAATGGGCCTCTTTTAGTGTAATTATACTTACTAATAAGGTAGAAATCATAGAGAATATCCAGGATCCAGCAAATGCTTGTGTGCATATACTACTATAAGTCTATAATTTGATCTTACCACCCTTTACCTTTGTATAATTTGATCTTACCACCCTTTACCTTTGTATAATTTGATCTTACCACCCTTTACCTTTGGCAATTAATTTGCTATAGTTTTCTGCCCGTGGAGAAATCTTGTTCTTATTATATGTGATGTGATAGCTTATGATATGGATTATACTTTTGTAGTAATATTTGATTGATTTGCTATCCTTTTTATAATTAAAACCTAACATCTAGATAATTTGACTTTTAAAATAAACAAGTACTTTTGAATGCAAACTTTTTCTAAGGTGAAATAGTGAGAGATGAACTGAGGCATTATGCTATGTTCTGAGTGCATTCTAACCAAAGTCATGTTGATTTTCATAATAAAATGTGAAGAACGATGCTATGTTTGGTTTACGAAAAAGCCCTTGTTTTGTGAAAAAAAGCACTTGTGTTGGTTTTAGATGTCTTGTTTATTGTGCATCCTGCCATCTTGATGCTTCCCTAAATATAATTCATTAGACATTGCATAAAAGTTTCTGCATTTTTGTACTTATATGATTGCCATAAACTAATATCACTAACACTGATCATCATTTACAGGTGACATTTTCAATGACGTGGTAGGAAGTCCTTATTATGTTGCACCTGAAGTTCTACGCAAGCGTTATGGTCAAGAATCAGATGTGTGGAGTGCTGGTGTTATCTTATACATTCTCTTATGTGGGGTGCCTCCATTTTGGGGTGGTAAGAGTTATTACCATTGTCTAGCACTATATTGCTCAACCATTTTGCTTAATTTGTTTTACTTTCAGAAGTTTCCTGGTTCTAATAATTTTAACATTTATTTTGTTCCTTGGTAATAGAATCGGAGCAAGAGATATTTGAGGCAATTTTGCATAGTGATCTTGATTTCTCATCAGATCCCTGGCCTAAAATCTCTGAAACTGCAAAAGACTTGGTTAAGAAAATGCTTGTCAGAGATCCTAGTAAACGAATAACAGCTTATGAAGTTCTTCGTAAGTTTCTACACTGTTATCCCATTAAGAAGCCAGTGAAACAGTGAAACAGAAGTTATTAGGCACTCTCACCCCACATTTGGCATGTGATTATATATTATATATTTTCTTTAACATAGCCTTATTTATTTTGTTACATGTCAGCAGTTTTCTTTAATACACCTCCAGCACTAGAAATGAAATTGTCTTAAGAAAATTGCTCATTCAGTGAATTTTTCGTCACTATAATTTCAGACGGTTAAATATTTCTTTTATCCAACACACTGATGGGGTATATTGTACCTTAAAAGAGTTTTTGATGAAATGTTAGGCATTGTATTGTCAAATTTTCACTTGTGAGTACAAATTATCATAACATTTTTAAACTTGAGGTCTATTATCACATCGATAATGATGATACTCTTCCTTGCAGGTCACCCTTGGATTCAGGTTGATGGAGCAGCTCCAGACAAGCCTCTTGATTCTGCAGTTTTGAGTCGCCTGAAGCAGTTTTCTGCAATGAACAAGCTCAAGAAAATGGCTCTTAGAGTAAGTTATTTTTCTATCAAATAACTCAGTCACATGAGTTTATTTATTTTTCCTCTCTTTGGGGATTGGTAACCAGTAGCTTGTGCAATTTTATTTGCAAAGTTGAATATGCCAACTTTTTGTAATAATAATTATTAATTTCTAGTGGGAAGGGAGAGGAGAATATGTCAACTTCTTAACATTAATTTTGGAAAATTTCTGCTGAAATTGTCAATTTTTTTATATTTTTCTCTGTAGGTTATTGCGGAGAATCTCTCTGAAGAAGAAATTGCTGGATTGAAAGAAATGTTTAAGACAATTGACACAGACAATAGTGGTCAAATTACTTTTGAAGAACTCAAGGTTGGAATGAAAAGATTTGGTGCTAATCTCAGTGAATCTGAAATTTATGATCTAATGCAAGCTGTAAGTATTGTATTAGTACAGAGTCATCTTCTTTATTTCCTTAATTTTATAAAACCAACATATTCTCTTATGTCTTCCTTTTAATTGAATGCCATTGTACACTGTCAGCAGAGAATATCAATAATCATAGATATTTCCATTCCATAATTATTTTTTGCTCTTAACTTCTATGGAATGTTCTTATTTATGGATATTGATCATGCTCTTGTAATTGCATTAGAAACACTTGGGTTATGACTTGGGATGAACCAATTATATAATGATAGATTGGTAATAAATAACAATCAAAATAAGAAATGTAATGTTGTCATTTTTAGTATAATTTGTTTTGATTCATCAACCCCAATTTTGCTTCGGATTCCAGGCAGATGTTGATAACAGTGGCACAATTGACTATGGAGAATTCATAGCAGCAACATTGCATTTAAACAAAGTTGATAGGGAAGATCATTTAGTTGCAGCTTTCTCATATTTTGATAAAGATGGAAGCGGCTACATCACTCAAGATGAGCTTCAACAAGCTTGTGAAGAATTTGGCATAGAGGATGTTCGCTTGGAGGAAATGATGCGAGAAGCTGATCAAGATAATGTGAGTATATATTTTTGTAACATAATGTAGTGATTGGAACTTGATGAATGAAACCATAATATTTCTTAAGAAATAGAATACCTCATACTTTGAGGAGGAGACTCATTCAGTTTCTTGCATCAGTATATAGATAATCTAAGGAATAATATACTTTACAATATTAATATACTTACGGAAATACTATTCTTCTGCCGCATAAGAATGAATAGTATTTCCTGCTGATAGATTAAAAATTGAGTTTTTTTTCTTTTTATTTTTTTGTTTTAAAAAATAATGGGGCCCACTGATATTTGTGATGTGTAGAAAAACTAACTTACCAACTGTCACATAAGAAAACTAAACCCCATATACTTATTGTCAAAATAAATTAATCCCAAGGAGTGGCCCAACTGGTAAGCAAGTTGTGCCCAAGAGGCAAACTGCTGGAGCTGAAAGGTCTCTTATTTGAATCCTAGGTTAAGCAACATCGGGCTAGTGGCAAAAATCTTCACACTCTATGCCACGAAGGAGATAAGTCTCATACTCTCATCCAAATGGGTGAGGACACCACAATGGAACCAAAAAAAATAAGTGTGTGAATATGATATCTAATATGATGGACTGCTAGTAGACTGAATATTAATATATGATTTTAAATTCCCATTGAAAGAGTTAGGTGACTAAAATAATTTTTAGAATGAGGTTAAAATAGATTTATATATATGCTGTTGTGAAATTCCAAGTTCCATTCATTTTTTGATGACTTTGTTATGCTCATGTTTTGCCCTTTCAGGATGGAAGAATAGACTACAATGAATTTGTGGCTATGATGCAAAGAGGCAATGCAGATTTGGGTAAGAGGGGTCGAAAGGCTAGCAGTAGTTTTAGACTTGGGTTTAGGGAGGCACTACCGGTATGTTAAGAAATAGTAGATGAGTTTCTCTTTGTTTTTGGTAATTTAGCATTTTTTTCAAGAGTGAGTTGAACTTACTTAAATGGCTCATATTCTGTAAAAATGTTGATAAATTTGGTTCGTGGATTTTCCCATCTTATGTACATTATGGATAAGATCATAAGAACATTTATTTTGGCAACAGGGTTTATTCTTTTAAGGTCTAATAACAAAGTGGCATCTTAAAGTTCAGCCAGACAAACATTTACTTGAGAGAATTGCATATGCATCTTCCTAGAGTGTAAAACAATTCAAGTTTTACATCAAATAGTGATTTGACAATAGAGTTGGTAAAGAGGACTTTTCAATGGGTAGCCCCATCATGCTTCATAGTTGTCATTCAGTGTGTTACAATGACTTGCATAATGTAAAAAATATCACAATCTGGATTTTATTCCTGACAAAGAGTTCTGCCCCTAGGGACAATAAATTTGTATCTACTCTGAGAGTAATACACTCAGTTTACTAAAATTATAATATATAGATAACAGAATTATACATATTGTTGGATTAAATTTAAAATATTATATAATAAAATCTACAGACTACAATAGATTTCAACCTTCAAGTGTATTACTCCGAGACTATAAAAGAATTTCTCTTCTAAGTTATATTCACATTCGCCTCTGAAATTGATAGTCACTCTGACATTTAATAGGGTGACATAGCCAGTCAATTGATAGATTGAAATCAGAGAGGAAGGATGATTCAAAATAAAAACTTGAAGAGTTTAATCATGAGGCATAGCTTAATTGGTTAGTGTTTATAAAATATACTTTGAACCGTAAGGTTAACTTTCTTATGAATTTTAAGGTGAAAAATTGTCTGTTGCTAGTTATTTCTATATATGAATGGTAACTTCAAAAAAAAAAACGTAAAAAGACTCCAAATATGAACTCCATGCAATTTGTATAAATTATTTGCCATTAAAGGCTAAAAGTTTGGTTATTTAAATTTAGAAATCTATTTTAAAGAAGGGAAAGAAAATATGCTATTATCAACCCGCCAAAAACAGACTAGTATGAGTTGGTCAATCTTTTAAAAGTTAGTTAAAAATATCAATTTACTCTGTTTTAAGGTAGGATGACAGGTCAACTCGTTTAAAAAAAAAAAACTAAAAAATAAATCTTATTTTATGGATTTTATTTGTTTAATTTTATTTGATATATCTGTTAATTTTTTCCAATCCAAAGCCTAAATGTATATTCATATTTAGTTTGACAATGCCTAAGAACTCATTTTTGTCTCTATATATGAATAATATTTGTAATAAATAAAATGTTTTCTTCTTTATCTTTTGTAGAGGAGTAATAACATAAAAAACTTGATAGGACAAAAGCTTGACATGACAAATAAAATATTATTTAATGCTAATTTTTTTTTTGACCCGACAAGTCAATTCACCCAACGATGGGTTTAACCTGTTTTGACATGCCCTTATGCAAGGCGGGTTTAAACATGTTAGCGAGTTGGGAATCTCAACCCAACATGTCATTTGTGGTTAAACGGGCCAACTTGATAGGTTGGACCCGTTTTACCACTACTAATTTCAAATCCTTAAAACCAGTGTTTTAAAAATCAGCTCAGACCGGCCGGGTCGACCCGGGTCTCGATGACCCGGTAGGTTCCCCAGTCCGAGCGGTCATTTGGATCAGTTTTGCAGTCAACTCGGTTTGGACCGGTTGACCCGGGCGAGACTCGGCGACTCGGTAACCCGGGTTAGACCAGTTGACCCTTTTTTTTTTTTGCTGCTATGAACTCTTGAATTAAATCATGTTCATATTTTGTGGTAATTATGAATAAAAAGTAAGATGAAAATAAGAAGGTATTTTGGATTAGTAGCGGGGATAAACAGTGGTGGTCTCATCTCAACCAGTGTTATTAAAACCGGACCGGCCCGGCCGGTCCGACCGGTTGACCCGGAAACCGGCCCATCAACCGGTCTGGTTCTAGTGTTAGACCGTTTAAGCATTCGACCCGATATCAACCCAGTGACCCGGTCATAAACCGCGGTCCAACCAGTATAAACTGGTACCGGTTTTTCAAAATAAGCTCCAAAATATTCCATTTTTTGCACGAAGTGGGATTTGAACCCTGTCCTTCAGAGTGAGGATGGGAATCGAACCCTGTGCATTGAAGATAGACAACATAGTAATTATCACTAGACTACATTAGGTTATTGTTTGAATTGCACCATTTAAAATATTTATTATATAATTAAGTATAAAATATAAATTTATATATATATCCGGTTCATGCGGTTCAACCAGTGACCCACCGGTTGAACCATTGACCCAGTGACCCGGTACCTCGGTCGAGTCAATGACCGGTCCGATTCTAATAACATTGATCTCAATGGTAGAAACTTTCTCCTTAGTGTATATTTCCTGCCTATTATTTGTTATCATGATTTAGTTCATCTGTGTTATTTCAAGGCACAAAAGTTGCATTTAGCTTACATTGCGATTTTAATCCAATACTAGGATATGGTCTAGAGCTAGAAGCCTAAAATTATATAATATTTGCTATTATTGAGAATCAATATATTTTTTGAAGCTCATTGGTAGTTTTCTTATGTGAATTTTCAATATAAGTAATATGTTTATATTTTTTTAATATGTGAACAGTAAATCCGGTTGAGCCAATTACTCAGTACCTCGATCGAGTCGATGACCGGTCCAAGTTTTAAAACACTGCTTAAAACCTCAACGACATTAAAGAAACAAAATAAAATTTATTCATAGTATCATTCTGCTCATTCTTCATTATATATATGGGAAGGATCAACTTATACCGGTATAAATAACGAGTCTTACATTTAATCTCAATTGTTGATCTTATTTCATCTAACAGTTGTGATTTACAAACAATACTATGTCTTACCGATAAGACTTCACTAAAAAATATCTTACCGGCAAGATATAGTGTAGTTTATAAACAAAAAATTTATAAATATAACATTCCCCATATATATATATATATATATATATGGCTTATCGTTTCTCAAGTTGCTTGAGATAACTTTATCTCCGGATACTAAATCATAACTATACAAAGATGGATCAATGGTGATAAAAGAATCAAGAGAAAAAGAAAATCATAATCATTCAAAGGTGAATCAATTAATATAAGAAAATAAATAAACAAAACGAAATAATTTTTAGATGGACGAAGATAAATATTCTCAAGCTGCTTGAGAAATATTTTTCTCGTATATATATATATATATATATATATATATATATATATGAGACAGGATATTCTTACACCGGTGTAAGAGTTAGAAGTCTTATACTCAATCTTGACCATTGATCTACTTGTATCCAATGGCTCACATTACTAAAAGAATTTGAATCATTAGATATAAGTGGGATCAGCGGACAAGATTAAGAGTGTAACTTACACTGGTGTAAAATTATCCTAACCCTATATATATATATATATATATATATATATATATATATATATATATATATATATATATATATATGGAGTTATCGTTTCTCAAATTGCTGGACATTCAGCTAGGAATCATAATCATACATGGGGGTAAAAACATTAAATACAGGAAATAAATAAGAATAAAAAATCAGGATTACTAGCTGGACGTCTAGTAACTTGAGAAATAATTTTACCTATATATGTATATATATATATATATATATATATATACATATATATATATATATATATAATTATTTTATACTAGTGTTAGTTATATTCTCAATCTTAGTCATTGATCATATTTGCATCTAATAACTCACGAGATTAGTAAACTAAAATTGTTACCTAGAAGTATATTAACGGTTAAGAATGAGTATAAAATTTTTAAATTCTCACATGCACATCTGTAAAATGTTCCTACGTAGTTACGCTATATAGTTTTTACGTACACACGTTCTGATATATTTATATATATATATATATATATATATATATATATATATATGGATTTAAATTTTTGCAGCTTCTGTATGTACTACAATCAAATACTTGCCATATATATATTTGAAAGCATTAAATGCGAGAAATCATAACCATACAATGATACAAATGATAAAAGCATTAATTGTGGAGAATCATAATCATACACTTGTCGTTGTTGTATGTACAGCGGCTGCAGAAATGATTTTGTCATATTTATATATATATATATATATATATATATATATATATATGGGTTCGTCTTTTCTACAGTCAATATAGATAATTTATCTACATTAAGCCCAAAACGACGTCGTTTTGGAGCAAAAATCAAGTATTTTTGTAATTATAATTTATTTTAGGGTTATAATAGTTTTTTTCATTATAATTTTTTAATTTTTCAATCCAAAACGACGTTATTTTGAGAGTGAATGTAGAAACATTAAAGCCTATATATATATATATATATATATATATATATATATATATATATATAATATTGCGTAATTCATAGGGATTTTCGTTCAATAATTCCACAAGCATTGAGATAGCGCCAATGAAACAAATTTTGAACTTTTATCCTTGTCAGCGTTTGGGAGCTCAATTTGTAGGTTATGTATAACACCATGTTGCCATCCAAATTATCATTGTCTTTTGTTTGGATTTGTTTCATGTGATCATTTTCTTTAGCACCATGAGAGTACTGTATTAAAAGAAAAAAGTGCATAAATTAATTTTCTGCAATATTGGTGAAACCACCCAGCACAAGAAATTAGGGGGGATATTAGTTAGGTTGAGTTTAAGATTTTTTTACTTGACCCATACACCATGGATTGTGTTGGATTGAACCCATAAGTTTAATTTACACAGAAAGAAAAATTACTTGCCAAAATAAAAGTGAAACGTCATTAAATATAATAAGTTTCAAATGAATTAATCATAAGTTCAAACGAAATAAACGTAAATTGAAATAAACATGATAAGCCGAACTTTTGCATCACAATCACAATCCCTTTCCTCCAACCATGCATGCGTCTAAATTGCAA